GGTCAATGAGATCAACGATAACAAAGTCATCTCTGCGGAAAGATGGTTCGCGCACGTTCCTTACAGCTCATGATAGCCCCTAATCGAGTCCGCTTTCCCAAGTTTGTTGCTCCATCCGGTTGCTCTGATTTCCGATGTTTACTCCGTAGCAGGCCTTCTCTCGCGCCTTCACGCTTTTATCGCTCGGACGTGTGTGTTCGGTAGGTGGGCGAGAGAAAATGTTTTTCTAATGACTATCAGAGCCAATACATTTCTCTTGTTTCCTACCGCTAGCATTTCGTAGCCATGACTTTATGGTTTTAAGTGCTGTATCAAGGTCGCTGTCCGGAAATTTAAGTGATAAAGCCCCTGCAAAACAAGAAATAATAAAATTATTAGAGGATAAGACATCCATATTAAGTTAAACAGTAAAAATAAATTAAAGAATATATTTGCAACAAGGATATAAACACAGTAATGTACAGTAATTTAGTACACTAATTTAGTACATAAGTATAATGTATATCAAAATTGTAGGATTATTATTTCGGAGTTTGTTGGTATGAAGTATTCCAAATTTGCAAAAAGATAATAGATAAGACAATATTAACTAGAGAGCAAACTAACGAGACATTAGGATTTTACCTTCAATAACTGTCCACAGTTTCAGTGTTTTAAAGCCTCTTTTCTCACCATGGCCATCAAAATTATATTTTTTAGCCAAAGAATTATACATAACTCTTTGCATAAATATGGTAGCAGTTTTTCTTTCATCACTAGTAGATCCAAAAGAGGTAAGATAATCACACTAAAAATAATAATATACACAAGTCAAAAGATATAATAAAAATATACATTTCATAATCAGATATAACTAGAATTTATTAATAAAATTAAATTATTTTGAATGTCATTAATCTATTAAATAATACAATTTATAAAAAAAACGATTAAATGCTACTGGACAAGAGAAAAGAAAGAAAGATAAATGAAATAAAAACAGATAAAATAAAAAATAACATAAAAAAAGTAAAATAATAAATTCAATACAAAAATTTAATAAAATATTTGTACCAAAGCAATGTTATTTTCAGAATCACACAGCCATTTCTCCATTGCTTGGACATCACTTTCGTTACATAAAGGCAAAGAAGGCATGTTATGTGGTTTCTGTATTTTCTTTTCCTGAGGAAGCAAACATCTGTTTAGTTTTCCTTGATTCGTTATAACTGTATCTATTTTGTGACTTATTTCCTCCAATAATTTCCTGTCCGCGTCAGATAAGTGAAACTTCAAATCTGGAAAAAAAGCAAAAATATTTTTCAACTTTTGAAGAGAAATCATTTTCTGTATTAATAATTACATTGATAAATGTTTCACAAATTATGATTTTTACTTTTTTTATTTCTACTTTCAGAAAAAAATATCTTTTGTGTCATGAAGTAGAGACAATCAGATTTGTATAGGAAGATATATGTTTATAATTATAAGTGAAAATAAGAGAACAGAAATATTCAGCATATTAAATGTGATTGTCAACATATAGATCTGATTGTGTCTAATTCATGACACAAAAGATGAAAACCAAATGTAGAATATATACCTTGCATTTTATTTTTTCTCTCTGACGTCGTAGAGGAAGAATTCTGACTCTTATCAATATTGTCGTCAAACTGTGATAACTCCATGTGCTTCAAGTTTGATGCTGCTTTAGAGGGAATATCCACATGTTCCTTGATTGTTGTATCATTCGCGACAGAGTCTTCAGTGCTACTAGTAAAGTCAACTAAATCTTCAAAATCTGAATTCTTTTCAATATTCGATAACGATGGTAGGAATTTCTCAGACTGTTGAAATTTATTGTTATTCTTCTTAGTCACTTCATTATCCTCAGACAATGTCTGTTTATTACATTTCGATCTCTCAATTTGCATCTGTAATTCAGTTTGGTGCTCCTGAGATTGTTTCTTCAGAAATTCTTCTGAATTTGAAGCGTTAGTAACTTTGTTACTGGAAAGTGATTGCGAACATAATTTTTTCTGCAATTGCTCTGTTGCCCTTTTCCTTGCATCCAATACATTTTGCACAAGTAGTGTTTTTTCTTTAACATTAAAGCGAGAAGGAGTTTGCTGTTTCGGTATCTTCCGGGATTTACGCAAATTGACTTTGATATCAAGTTTCTTTTTCTGGCTTTCATTGCCATGTGAACACGTAGGGACAGTATTATAAAAATCATTAGGAAGAGGTGGTGGCACATTTGGAGGAGGTACAACAGCTTTGGTCGATTTTTTTACACGTTTTTCTTCATCTTCATCAGAATCTGAAGTAAATAATGGGTTCTTATTCTTTTTACGCTTGCCTCTACCTAATTCCTTTTCTGTTTCATAATTAGAATCATCATGTTTAGTAATTCCTTGAACATTGTTTCTTGCTTTTATATATTCATCTATAAGCGTGCAAAATGGTAATGGTATTATCAAAACGGGCAATTTTTAAAAAATCATATATAAATCCATAAACGTCCACACAAAAACAAAAAACAAAAAGGAGAATGATTCGAGTAAATAAAAATAAACATATACCGTGATATCTCTTAACATATACACGGTATTTAGGCCAGGTTTTGTCTGCATTTACTTCTTTACGGACCAAGCTTCCAGCTTCAACATTATTCGGTGGCCAATATGTCTCACCTTCCATATCTTCATTCACTTCAATCAACCACTTTGTGAGGCCGATATCGTAGTAAATATTATCGTTGTCGATAATCATCAGGTACAAATTTTAAAACGACAAACTGAAATAATACAAATGTAAAGGAAAATACTAATATTTAAAAGTTGCTTGTATTACTGTACATAATGCTTAATAAAAAATTAAAACATAGGCATAGAATGCAAAAGAGGAACTGAAACAAAAAATTCTTTGTAGGGTATTAACCAACATTTTGATTGAATATTTGTCAATGGTAGTACAATTCTTTGGTCACCCAGATTTGACACTTTAAAAATCCGAATAAGAGATGAAGGGAAAGGATATGTATAAAAATTTTCTTTTTTGTTAAACTTGTTTGTAATCAGGTAAATATCTTCTTGTCTTTTCACAACGTTTAATAATACAAATACATTTCCGTCAATTGTCATAAAACAA